GAACCATTGGATGCCTGGGCTCGTTCTGGTTCTGAACTCAAGCAGAAGCATGAAATGATAGAATTTCTCACAACCCTAGATGCTTAAAAAAATTGTAAAAAAACAAATTAGGGGTATGGGCAGCCCCGAAAGGTGCTCAGTGATCATCATAATGTGGCCCAAAGATGCTGAAATGATCTTTACATTTTTTCCAGCACATTTTTCTGAGAACCATTGGAATTTCAGTAAAACTGACTTTTGCAAAGCCACTCCATTTCTTTTCTTCAGCTGGGCCGAGTTCGGACATTCCAGCTACCGCAACCAGGCTCCCTTTGGAGACGGGTCGCAGCGTTCGGGGGGCTCTTGAATTTCTCCCTGGGAGAGGTTGCTGCCTTCAGCTCCCCCGAGGCACCCGTGCTCCTCCCCTCCCCTCTGCGTACAGCGCTATGCTTTGATGGGCAAACCCAGCGTTGCTCATTTTGGGTGGTTGTGAGCTGAAACTCTTGGCTTTTCCCTCTCAATGGGCCTGGATTCCTCCTGCGGTGGAGCACGGCAGGAGACCTTGGAGAGGTCCATGTGCTCCATTTGCCAATTACAGCACGGGGAGAAAAGGCATCAGCTCTTTGCTATGCACCTGGGAAAGGCAAAGCCCTTTAAAAATAGACGGCAGAGTGTCAGGTGGGGTTTTGGGGAGATGCTCTCCTCTTTGTGGTGCCTTGCATAGTCTTCACAACTTTTTTGCTCTGTTTTCACTTTGCTGGTACTCCTGGTGCCAAGACAGCCTCTTGCCCATGAGCCTTCTCATCCCGCTCCAAAAATACCAGGGTTTACAAGCCCGCAGGAGCAGGGCAGTGGGCTCCACGTCTGGCAGCCCCGTGTCTGAGGCCGGAGAGAGGCAGACAGCCATTATAATGTGGTGACAGGACAGGGTTGGGGTAAAGACCCTGGCCTTTGAAACGGAGGAAGAAAGAGTACGTCTCCAGGTTGAGAAGCTGCTTTGGATGCTTCCTGACATGTCCCGTAGGCCAAGCTGCTGGTGGGTGCCAAATTGGTTCATGAAAACATCTCCACGCTAATCGTGCCCTCGTTTGGTTGGGCCAGCGGCTCTGGCCGGTGCGGGCTGGATGAGACGCAGGTGTCTGATCCCAAAACGTAAGTTTTCCTGCTGGCAGGGGAGGAAGGAGAAGCTCCGTTCCCTCTTTGCTGCGCTGGTGTGCTGGGTGGGAGCAGGGGAGACCATGGTCAGCAAAAGGCAGGGACTGAAGCTTGTGCTTGGCCTGGGGAGGCTTGGCCAGCACCAAGGAGGGGTGACACAAGGAAAAGCATCGTCCCTGCTAACTCCTCTCCAACCCAGCCACCGAACGAAGCCTTTGTTATGCATACAGACGCTGTGGGTTGAAATTCAGGGCACTTCACTTGAGTGTCCTCTCCTCTTCGGTGAGGTTTAAGGATGGGGCTGGGTTATTCTCCAGCAGGACCAGGGGCAGTTCGTTGTCACACAGAGCTGGACCTCTCCAAGAGATCCTGGAGCTGAGACACTGGGAAGGAATTTTCTGCCTTAGGAAAACCATAAATCTTTAAATATCCTGTTTCCACTACGAGACGGATTCGGAAGTTTCCAGCCAGGCTCACTGGGTGGTGGAGTCTCCCTCGGCGTGGGGTGAGCTTGTGTGTGTAAATGAATGCCCCCAGACACAGGAAATCCCCAGACTTGGTTCTTTTGGGACATATCAAAATGTGAAATAAATGGGGGCTCTTTCTAGCATCCCTGAAAAGTCCCGGCCACTTGCCCCCGCGCTGCCGTCGAGGCCACCCGGCCGGACCCCCACCATGGCTGGGCTATTGCATCTCAGTGGTAGCAAAGCCGAGCATCCCTTTAGAGCTGATTTTTGCCTCTTGGCAGCTCTGGAGCAACTTTTTTTTGCAATGATGCTCCTTGGCTTTGCTTGGTCTTGCTCCGGCGAGCGGCCGAGACGTTCGGCTCGGTTTCACTAGAGGGCGCAGGAATTTTAGGCTAGAAACGCGGGGAGGTTTGTCGGGGAAAGTTGGCTGCCTTCTTCCCTTTTTTAATCAACTGGAAAGATGCAGGGTTGAACTGGAGGTGACTGGAAGGGGATCCAGACTTGTGTCTGGCTGGGGAAGGATCTGCTGACATCTGGGATTAGGCGGCGTGGAGTGCAGCGGACGGGACGGTGCAGCGAGCTGGCCGCGGGGGCGGGGCGCGC